TTGCTTCTTAAACTTGTGCTCAGAATGTGTGGTGACATTGTGATCCACCCTGAGCTTGTACTGCTTTGCTTGCTCTGCTGATTACACCCCACTTTGGCTATGGGGGTGTGTCAGAATATTATGCTCTAGCCTGTAGTGGGGTGCTCTGTAGCGAGTACAACCCTTCTAGGGTTTGCTATTTGTATCCCCATTCTTGCTAGTGCAACCCCGTTCTTTCCCCTTAATTCTCTTGCCTAGCTAGGACTCTCCTAGCTATGGCTCCTAAGACTACCGCTTATCTCAACAGGAACATCGTCAGTTGTATGGCAAAACTGACCGACTCCTGCGTCACTGAATCACCACCACATTACTCACCGGAAGAACAGCTCGACAACAGCACGCCCCGCCGCGAGTCACTGCAGCCAAACCCGACATACGCCGCCATCGCCCAGAGTGAACCATCCGGGAAGGACACATGGTTCTTGGACAGTTGCTGCGGACAGCACATGTGCTCTTCAGGACGCTTCGTGCAACGAGAGTACCAGCTTCAACGAGAAGTCGTCATCACTGTTGCCAACAACCAGAACCTGCGCACACGGCGACAAGGCGTGGTACAACTTCAGTCACGAGAAACAAGTGTCATTCTACAAATGACCAAGGTCTTAATCGCAGAAGGTCTCGGTTACAACTTACTGAGCGTCAGTCAGTTGATGGCGAAAGGCATTCACCTCGAAGCAGACAGCACCACCCAGAAGTTCAGGCTGTACCACGGAAAGGGCGGCCTCTACATCGGAAAGGCGATCCTCAAGAACAACGTCTTCGTTCTTGACTTCGTACCAGACCTTGGCACCGCTGACAGCGACGGCATCGTCAGCTTTGCTCCTTGGACACATCCTCCAGATCTTGACCCAGACTTCAGCCCCGGCGGCTTCTGGCACTCTCACACGATCCCTGAAACAGAACGAACAAGAGCGTTAGCGACAATTCAAGCAACATCGGCAGCAGCAGCAACAACATCGGCAGCAGCAGCAACAACATCGGCAGCAGCAGAGACAACATAAGGAGCAGCAGAGATAACGACAATAGCAGCGGCAACATCAACACCAATAGCTGGCCCTTCAACGACACCGATCTCCATCGACGATTCACCACCGACACCCGCACAACAACTCAATCCAGCACCACGTGAAGTCCACCGAAGCACCAACGTCACCGCCGGCTTCTACTCCAACTCTGATCTGTATCGGAGATCACCCGGACATCGCGCCACTGAAGGTACCTGGCACGCAAGAATGGGACATCCAAGCAACACAGTGTTAAACAACACGATAAGAGCAGGAGTGCTCGACAAAGACTCACTTCTACTGACCGACGGCAGAGAACTTCAACGAGCCCGTGGAACGTGCTTCACTTGCCCTGAAGCTGACTTACCGCATCAGCCGTTCGTCTCACATCACAATCCAAGCGCACCTGCGTACACACCTCTCGAAAAGGTGTACAGCGACATCTTATACAACCGTGAACCCGGACAAAACGCCTACAGCTACACCATCACCTTCATCGACGCCGCAACTCGATATGTCTGGCACCTAAACCTTCCAAGTCGCGACATGGCTTTCGAAGCCTTTGTCGCCTGGCTTCCAGTCGCAGAACGAGAATCGGGAGCTAAGCTAAAAAGCTTTCAGTCAGACGGGGGAGGAGAATACACCTCACAGAGGTTCAAGCAGTACTTGGCAGAAAGAGGAATCAAGAGGCTCATCTCCCTTCCCTACGCTCACCAACAGCAAGGCGTAGCAGAAAGGATGAACAGGACGCTCCAAGCCACCATGCGCAAGCTGCTACGTGGCATGCACTTGCCCAACCACCAGTGGCCTGAAGCAATGGACCACGCCTTGATGCTGCACAACCTGCTTTCGTCATCATCGCTCCCGAACAACGCATCACCGCATCTGCTGTGGACAGGAAAATTGGGCAGCACAAAAATGTTGAGAGTCTTCGGCTGCATGGTACAGTACCGACCTCCATCTGCACGAGCTGGGCGATTCTCTCAACGCGCACAGTGGGGACTACACCTGGGCATCGCAAAACATTACAACGCGTGGAAAATCTTCGACATCAACAGCAAGGAAACAGTAGCAGCACGTGATGTCGTTTTCTACGAAAACCTCACCCTCGGAACTCACCTCATGTACATCGAAGAAAACAGACCTGACCTCTCGGGCGGATTTCATGGGCACCGAGCCTTCGCCTCGGCAGAAGACGAAGCTGACTGGGACGAGCAGAACGTGGAAGGAGCCTCGGAAGCAGCCGGACCTCTCCCTTACTGCTCCGTGGACATCCCAATGGACGACGAAAATCCTCGCGAAAGCATCAACGCCGAAGTCTTCTACGAATTCGCCGACAACGGTTACGTTACACCTGCACGGGTCAACACCAACGAAGCAGAACGAGTAGGACCGAATTTCAATCCAACACCTGAAACAGGAGACGAAGCTGTTTATCCCGAGGACACCACACTCCCCCGCTACTCACAGAGTGGACTTCAGATACTCGGACTCGTCACCGCAGTCCACGGTCCCGCCATTCCTAAAGAGCCTGCGACAGTTCAACAGGCTCTGGGGGGGGAGCACAGGGAAAAATGGCGTGAAGCCATGGACAGAGAGTTAAAAGCGCTGGAGGAACGGAACACCTGGAAAGTCGTTCCCATCAGCGTGGCAAGAAACAAGACCATTCTCACCGGGAAATGGGTCTTCCGCGTCAAAACGAAAGCAGACGGCACAATTGAGAAGTTCAAAGCACGCTGGGTGGTACATGGATTCGATCAGGAGCACGGACGGGACTTCACCGAGACATTCGCCCCGGTTAGCCGACACACCTCACTCCGAATTCTTCTCGCGATCGCCGCCATGAAGAAGAAGAAGCTACGACAGATCGATGTCGCCAACGCGTTTCTCTACGCACCTGTCGACGCGGAGATCTTCGTCGAACTCCCACATGGCACTAACGGAGAGCCGAACAAAGTTTGCCAACTACTGAAATCGCTCTACGGGATTAAGCAAGCCCCGCGGCTATGGCAGCAGTACCTACACGCCCGCCTTATCCGCATTGGTTTCAAACAACTACCCCACGATCAAGGGATGTACCGGCTTACGAAGAACAACGACTACGTCCTGCTAATCGTCTATGTAGACGACCTCCTCTACATCGGCTCGTCCGACGGCATCACCACCTGGTTCGAAGGGGAGCTGCAGCGGGATCTCACGCTCACGGTTTCATCTACCGTCACACAGTACCTTGGGCTCAACATCCGAGAAGAGAACGACGCGATCTACCTCAGCGCCGCAAAATACGCCGACACCATCGCCAAACGTTTCGCTCTTGCACCAACCGCCATCTCCACACCATATCGCTACACGACAGGGAACAACAAGGGCGAATCGACTCCACTCAAGCCTGCCGGCATTCGCGACTACCAGAGAAAGCTGGGATGTCTTCTCTTCGCAGCCGTCACCTGTCGCCCAGACCTATCCTACTCCGCAAGCCAACTCGCCACCTACCTCAAAAGACCCGAAGCAGAGCACCTAGCAGAGCTCGACCGCGCTCTTCACTACCTCGTTAGCACCCCCACGATCGGGCTAACCTATCACAAGAACGCAACTACACCGACTAAGCTAATCGGCTATGTCGACGCAGACCATGCTGGTGACTCAGACAACAGACGCTCGCGCACCGGCTACATCTATCGCCTTGAACCTATCGGTCCTATCTCCTGGCAGTCGAGCAAGCAGGAGTTAATCGCACTCTCATCAGCTGAAGCAGAATACATTGCACTCTGCTCAGCCACCAAAGAAGGACTTTATCTTCGCGAGCTGCTGGAAGAAGCGAAATTAGCCGAGTTACCCAACTTCACCCTGTTCTGCGACAACCAATCGGCAATTCGCATCGCCAACAAAAGTGGCTTCGCGAACAGAACGAAACATATCGCCCTGCGATATTTCTTCGTGAAAGACGAGATCGAGAAGGGGAGACTTGAACTATCCTACTGTCCCACGTCCGAGATGGCAGCCGACTATTTGACCAAGAAGCTCGGAAAGCAGAAGTTCGAGTACTGCATGCTGCTGACTGGACAAGGCCACGTCATCAGCAGCGACACTCCAGAAGCGAAGGGGAGTGTTGGAAACAAGTAAATCCTAAAGCGCCTCTGTCGTGTCGAAACATCACACCAGAAGCGAAGCGAACCATATCGAGGCACACGCGAGTCAACCCTCGGAGGTTGAAAGAGGTTGCTGGAGGTTACGCGAAAGTCAAAGGTCAGCGACCTTTGACCTGACAAGTACAGCGCGACAGCAAGGACACACAACTGACTCGCTACAGAGCAGTTGCCCGAGTCGTCACTGTATCGAACCGCAACAGCAACAGTAAAGTAGTTACAACTGCATCCTTTCATATTCCTTGTACTCATATATAAATGCTTGTATCTCTTTGCTTTAATTAACTTACTTTGCCCTCACATACCAGCGCAAGGTGGTTCACAAGCTTTCATTAAACGCTTCCGCTATTACAATTATCATACCCTGAGTTTACCCCTGCAAAGATCCTAAGGGCTATCTCAGCCCAACATTCTTGTTTCTGTTTCTCTAGAGTTTGAGCGTGTTCCTATCAGACAACCTCGTATCAATTTCGCGTCGAACCGCACTAAAATGCATCCAACCGCAGTCGAACACATTGAGATGCATTTCACCATGCGAATCTGATACGAGGTATTTCTGATACGAGATGTAGGAACACGCTCTTATCATGCGCGAGGTGGTTCTTTGTACCAGCTGTAACACTGGTCTGCTTTTACCGGGATACTTCAACAGAAACCATCCCATAAGTGGCCAACATTCTGTCTCAAGGCCAGGTTTAGAGATACGTTGCCGGACCAGAGAAACACCCATGCATAATTGTTGGGGACTAGGTGGTTTGGAGGTCTGAGGATATAGCTGTCGGTTGGATTGACGACTGGCCACCAGTGCACTTCACTCTGTCTTGGTGTAAGGTACCAGATCCAGTGTCGCATTGCCCGGGCGGGAGAACACCACCTGCACTCAGAAAGAAAAGGAAACACAGGTTTGACTGAGAGGGTTGCAAATGTTGCTGGAGATGCGGGTTTGGATAAATTGGTGTTGGTGAAGCGAATACAAAGAGAAAGAGAGAGGGAGAAATAAGGACCGTATATAAGCTGCACCTCTTTCTATCATTGAAACACGCTGATACCTCCTGGCCCTGAGTATGCCTTGAAAATCCTTGATTATCTTAAAAAAGTTGAACCCCTCTGAGATTTACTTGAGTTAGCCTGGAAACCATGTGAACCTTTCTAGAGATGACCCAGTCATATCTTACAATCACCTAAAACTCTTTGAATTCACCTGAATATCTCCGAGTGTGCGCGTTTGAAAGCCGACAGCACAGTAGACAAAGTAGTACTGCCAGGTGCGGATGAACTTGGGCCCGAACCCCATCTCCATGATCTCACTGGGACGGGAGGACAGAGGGGAGAGGAGGAAATGGGAAGAGGGGAGATGAGAAGAGGGGAGATAGGAAGAGACAAGAGGGATGTTTGACAGAGACACATGGAATAAGGGAGAGTGGTTCATAGAACCACCGGACAGTGGACAAGGTAGGATTGCCAGGTGCGGATGAACCTGGGAGGACCCTAAACTGCCACATGTACACAGAATGTACTGTACCAAAAACTAAACCCTAAACACCAAATGCAAGCCACTGACTCAACACTCACTGTCTGTGAGCCATAAAATTGTCCTGCCATCTCACTGCCATCTCACTGCCATGTCACTGCCATGTCACTGCCATGTCACTGCCATGTCACTGCCATGTCACTGCCATCTCACTGCCATCTCACTGCCATCTCACTGCCATGTCACTGCCATGTCACTGCCATGTCACTGCCATGTCACTGCCATGTCACTGCCATGTCACTGCCATCTCACTGCCATGTCACTGCCATGTCACTGCCATGTCACCGCCATCTCACTGCCATGTCACTGCCATCTCACTGCCATGTCAACGGCATCTCACTGCTACCTGAATGTCATCAAACATCCCCAGACCCCTAGCACTCACTGCCGGTGAGCCATAAAGTTATCATGCCATCTCATGAGCGTCGTGGCATAGTGCGGCCCAATGTTCTCCAGCTCCTCCACACTGTATATGGCAAGCGAATGAAAAGAGAATGAAAAGAGAATGAAAAGAGGGGGAAAAGGTGTGGCAAGGTGTCATGGGAGGAATGAAGTTTGCTGCAGTGTCGTGGCATAGTGCAGCCCAATGTTCTCCAGCTCCTCCACACTGTTGGTCATGAGGATAAGGTAAGAGTGGAAGAAGAGGGGAGAGGGGTGATAAAGGGCAGGGGTAGCGCAGCAGTGTAGTGTCGTGCAATAGTGCATGAACAGAGGTGCAGTGGAGAATGGGGGGCAAAGACAAAGCAAGGGCAGAGAGGATTTTTGAGTCGACTCAAAACTAAAATCGTAGTGCATGAACAGAGGTGCAGTGTGGTGTCGTGCCATAGTGCATGAACAGAGGTGGAGTGGAGAATGTGGGACAAAGCAAGGGGAGAGAGGTGAGAGAAAGCAGTGGGAGGGAGGGGAATGGGTAGTGCCTGGCAGAGTGTGGTGGGGAGTGCGGCCCAATGCTCTCCACCTCCTCCACATCAGCTTGAAAATCGTTCTTCAATATTATTAGCGGGTTTTCCCTGAAGGCAGAGTCCTTGGCAGTGTTAATTTCACCTGAAGGAGGGTTTTTTGGCTCTGTTGTTTTAACTTGAGAGCGGAATTTGTGGACCTTTTTTTTTCACCTGAAGGCGGAGTTCTTGTTCTGTTGTTTTCACCTGAAGGCGAAGTTCTTGGTTTTGTTTTCACCTGACGGCAGAGTTCTTGGTCTGCTTTTTACACCTGAAGGCGGAGTTCTTGGCTCCGTTGTTTTCACCTGAAGGCGGAGTTCTTGGCCATGGCGTCGGTGAGCGCGGAGAGGGAGGGCACGCAGCAGCCGGGGAAGATGTACTCCTTGATGAAGTCGGAGGACAGGCGGTACTCCTCGTAGCGACTCTCTGGTGTGGTGATCACCTGATGCCAGGGTGGGGTGTTGGGGGATGAGAGGATTATGGAAGGAGAGGAAAAAAGGAAGAGATGAGTGTAATGCAGAGCAGCAGCGCCACCAGCAGCAGAGAGGGAGGGCACACAGCAGCCGGGGAAGATGTACTCCTTGATGAAGTCGGAGGACAGGCGGTACTCCTCGTAGCGACTCTCTGGTGTGGTGATCACCTGATGGTGAGGTTATGGGGAAGGAGATGAGACCAATGAGACATAACCATAACGCACAGCAGCAGCAGCGGCGGCAGCCGGGGAAGATGTATTTCCTTGATAAAGTCAGATGACAGGCGGTACTCCTTGTAGTGACTCTCTGGTGTGGTGATCACCTGACGACGCATGGGATGATGGAGAAATGGGTTCGTTTGGATGGGTGCGGATGGGCGGAACGAGAGAGATGAAGAAGCAAAGGAACGGCAAGTCGTCCAACACTAAAAAATGGATGGACCTAAACAATTACCTCGGCTCGAAAGACATCTGAACAACCACCTGAGCTGTGAAGCCACCTGTACAAGCACCTGAGACTGAAACGCACCTGAACAACCACCTGACACTGAAACGCACCTGAACAACCACCTGACAGTGAAACGCACCTGAACAACCACCTGACAGTGAAACGCACCTGAACAACCACCTGACAGTGAAACGCACCTGGACAACCAGGAGCCCATCCATAGCTAGCAGGCGGTCGCAGTGGTGGAAGAAATCGCCCAGGTACTCGTGTCCCACTGCCTCGAGCATCTCACTGCAGTTGGTTGAATGGGGAGAGAGAGTAAGAGTGGTTCAGATGGGATGGCAGGTAGGGGGGGAAGTGGTGGAATAAACCGCCCAGGTACTCATGGCCCACTGCCTCCAGCATCTCACTGTCAGCGGAACGGGGATGGATAGAGAGTGGTTCAGATGGGAGAGTAGCTTGGAAAAGGGAAGACTTCCTTGCTACACTACTGCTCAAGTCAGGGCATATTTCGAAAACAAAATCCAAAGCAATCTCCGGAAAAGGGCGGGAAGGTTATTATGTTGCAGTGTCACTCACCATGAGAGGATACGGTCAAACTTGCCAGTCCCCGGCAGATTGCGGTAGTCACAGAGCATGAAGTTGATTCGATCCTGGTGGAGGGTATGGGCGATAGGGGAGGATGGGAGTATTGGCGAAAGCTCAGAGACGCACCGAACTGGCAGAATGCAGTAGTCACAGTGCAGGGGGTTTGCGGTAGTCGTCTCATTGCGGTGGTCACAGAGCATGAAGTTGAGTTGGTCCTAGTGGTGGTGGGGATGGGTGGGTGATGTGGGGAGGAGGAGCGTGTCGGCAGAAACATATAGTCAGGTTAATACTTCAAATAGCAGATTGCGGTAGTCACAGAGCATGAAGTTGATTCGGTCCTGGTGCTGGGTGGGGGTGGGTGATGTGGGGCGGAAGGGAGTGTGGGCAAAAACGTAAAGACGTCTTAAGACTTCGATTGGCAGGTTGCGGTAGTCACACCACTCTGAGGGCGTGAGGGTGCACAACACTCTGAGGGCGTGAGGGTGCACAACACATGACTGGCCCGTCTGTGTGCATACCTGCAAACCGGCAGCTTTCACTTGCTCTGTGTCGAGCTGCAGCTGCTGTGATGAGAGCGTGATGCCCGTGTAGCTACACGCTACTCGATCTGTCAGTGCACATACTTGCAGTCCTGCCGCCCACCTGCAGTCCTGCCGCCCACCTGCAGTCCTGCCGCCCACCTGCAGTCCTGCCTGAGAGTGAGGTAGTGCATGCATACCTGGAGTCCAGCAGCCTTGACTCGCTCTGTGGCGAGCTGCAGCTGCTGTGAGGAGAGAGTGATGCCCGCATAGTGACACCCCGTCAGACTGAGACCCACACACTGAGCCTACACCACACAACTAGCCGGGGCACATACCTGCAGCCCTGCTGCCTTGACTCGCTCTGTGGCGAGCTGCAGCTGCTGTGAGGAGAGCGTGATGCCCGCATAGCGACAACCCGTCAGACTGAGACCCACACACTGAGCCTACACCACACAACTAGCCGGGACACATACCTGCAGCCCTGCTGCCTTGACTCGCTCTGTGGCGAGCTGCAGCTGCTGTGAGGAGAGCGTGATGCCCGCATAGTGACACCCCGTCAGACTGAGACCCACACACTGAGCCTACACCACACAACTAGCCGGGGCACAAACCTGCAGCCCTGCTGCCTTGACTCGCTCTGTGGCGAGCTGCAGCTGCTGTGAGGAGAGCGTGATGCCCGTGTAGCGACACCCCGTCAGACTGACCGTCTCCAGAGCCAAGCTGCCCCACCCGAACCCGATCTCCAGCACATGGTGGGTCGAGTCTATGCGCGCCTGAGGGGGAGAGGGAGGAAGGGATGGGGAAAGGGAAGGGATTGTAAGGACGTGTGACCCAAGCTGCCCCACCCGAACCCGATTTCTAGCACATGGTGGGAGGAGTCTATGCGCGCCTGGGGGGATGGATGGGAGACAGGAAAGGGGTTGTTGTGGGTACTGTGAGTGAGCCAAGCCGAACCATCCAAACCCGATTTCCAGCACGTGGTGGGTGGGAGGAGTCTATGCGCGCCTAAAGGGTCATATGGACATACATGGCGCAATTCAAAGGGTTAGGGAAGGGTGGTGAAGGTGGTGGGTTGGGTTATGAGCCAAGCTGAGGTGAGTTTTGAGTCGACTCAAAAGTCTCCCCACCCAAACCCGATCTCCAGCACGTGGTACCCAGCATGTGTCACGCACACACACACACACACACACACACACACACACACACACACACACACACACACACACACACACACACACACACACACACACACACACACACACAGACACACACACACACACCACCACCACCACCACCACCACACCATCACACCATCACACCATGGCAGCATGACATGCTCCCTCCCTATGAGCCTCCATCCAGCCCCTCCCACCTTGGAAATGAGGCGCCTCAGCTTGCGCAACTGAGCATCCACTAGAGGCTCCTCTGGTCGCTGAGCCAGGCAGAGGGCGGGAGAGAAAAGAGGGCGTGGTACGAAATGAGGGCGGGAGAGAAGGTGGGTGAGAAAGGAGGGAGGGTGAGAAAGGAGGGAGGGTGAGAAAGGAGGGAGGGTGAGAAAGGAGGGAGGGTGAGAAAGGAGGGAGGTGGAAGAGAGGGAGGTGGAAGAGAGGGAGGTGGAAGAGAGGGAGGTGGAAGAGAGGGAGATTTAATGAGAATCGGGCAGGAAAAGAAAATCAATCACTTGAAGACCGATGTGAAGGCAAAGGGCAAAGAGTGGAGAAGGTAGCAATCACTAGCACTGATTCTCACTGATGCTTTCCTTGTAGATGCTTCTAACAAGGGTGCAGACATAGAAGATGGCGCAGGAGTAGGTCATGGTCTCGTCGAGGAAGGTTTGGAACAGGAAGGGTGGGGGAAGCTGCAAATAAGAGCACTGAGTCACTGGCATCCCCACGGGTCAGTGCTTACCTGGAAGATGGCACAGGAGTAGGTCATGGTCTCGTCGAGGAAAGTCTGGAACATGCCGTTGCTCTGCGGGGGTTGAGAGGAGGTGAGGGAGGACGAGAACGAGTATGAGGGTGAGGGTCACAGTGGCTACTGGGTCATAGTGGCTACTGGGTCATGGTGGTTACCATGTCAAAGTGGGTTCCATGTCAAAGTGGTTACTGGGTCATGGCTGTTACAAGGTCATGGCTGTTAACAGGTCATGGCTGTTACAAGGTCATGGCTGTTACAAGGTCATGGCTGTTACAAGGTCATGGCTGATACCAGGTCATGATGGTTACTGGGTCATGGTGGTTACCAGGTCATGGCTGTTACCAGGTCCTGGTGGTTCCCGGGTCATGGTGGTTACCAGGTCATGGCTGTTACCAGGTCATGGTGGTTACCGGGTCATGGCTGTTACAAGGTCATGGCTGTTACCAGGTCATGGTGGTTACCAGGTCATGGCTGTTATCAGGACATGGTGGTTACCAGATCATGGTGGTTACCAGGTCATGGTGGTTACCAGGTCATGGCTGTTACCAGGTCATAGTGGTTACCAGGTCATGGTGGTTACCAGGTCATGGCTGTTACCAGGTCATGGTGGTTACCAGGTCATGGTGGTTACCAGGTCATGGCTGTTATCAGGTCATGGTGGTTACCAGGTCATGGCTGTTACCAGGTCATGGTGGTTACCAGGTCATGGTGGTTACCAGGTCATGGCTGTTACCAGGTCATGGTGGTTACCGGGTCATGGCTGTTACAAGGTCATGGCTGTTACCAGGTCATGGTGGTTACCAGGTCATGGTGGTTACCAGGTCATGGCTGTTATCAGGTCATGCTGGTTACCAGGTCATGGCTGTTATTAGGTCATGGTGGTTACCAGGTCATGGTGGTTACCAGGTCATGGCTGTTCACAGGTCATGGTGGTTACCAGGTCATGGTGGTTACCAGGTCATGGCTGTTATCAGGTCATGGTGGTTACCAGGTCATGGCTGTTATCAGGTCATGGTGGTTGGAGATGTTGCGGGGTTTGTTGGTGAGGTTGTTGAATCGCAGCAGGTGTCTTGCATACAGAGCTGAGTCCGTTCTAGTTACATGGTTACCAGGTGATGCTAGTTACCAGGTCGTAGTGGTTGGATATGTTGCGGCGTGCGTTGGTGAGGTTGTTGAATGGCAGCAGGTGTCTTGCATACAGAGCTGAGTCCGTTCTAGTTACATGGTTACCAGGTGATGCTAGTTACCAGGTCGTAGTGGTTGGATATGTTGCGGCGTGCGTTGGTGAGGTTGTTGAATCGCAGCAGGTGCCTCGCGTACAGAGCTGCCGACCCCACCACTGCTGTCAGCAGGGCGGGGCTCCACCACCCCCTGGTGGTTGGGCGAGGAGAAGTGGATTGGGAATTAACAGTTGGGAGTAAGAGCAGAGCTGGCCCAAACACTACAGAGCTGCCAAACCCACCACTGCTGTCAGCAGGGCGGGGCTCCACCACCCCCTGGTGGTTGGGCGAGGAGAAGTGGATTGGGAATTAACAATTGGGAGTAAGAGCAGAGCTGGCCCAAACACTACAGAGCTGCCAAACCCACCACTGCTGTCAGCAGGGCGGGGCTCCACCACCCCCTGGTGGTTGGGCGAGGAGAAGTGGATTGGGAATTAACAGTTGGGAGTAAGAGCAGAGCTGGCCCAAACACTACAGAGCTGCCAAACCCACCACTGCTGTCAGCAGGGCGGGGCTCCACCACCCCCTGGTGATTGGGCGAGGAGAAGTGGATTGGGAATTAACAGTTGGGAGTAAGAGCAGAGCTGGCCCAAACACTACAGAGCTGCCAAACCCACCACTGCTGTCAGCAGGGCGGGGCTCCACCAGCCCCTGGTGATTGGGCGAGGAGGAGGAGGAAGGAATGGAAGTGAGTATGTAGGACGGGGAAGAAGAACAGAGCAAACCCAGCTGTGAACAGTGGTGCCAGCTGGGAGCAGTCCCTGGTGGTGCTTGGAGGAGGAGGAGAGAAGGAAGTGGAAAACAGCATGTGTGGTTACGGGTTGCAAGGAGGCAGGGTACAGTTTTGAGTCGACTCAAAACTAGGTTGCAAGGAGGCAGGGTACACAACTCATCCATTGGTACTTTCACGTTCATTCAGCTTGACTCACTTCTTTTTCGCGGGTCGCTGGCCAGGCTGCTTGTTGCGATCCCGATTGGCAATCATGATCTGCGGTTGGATATAAGTGGGGTGGTGGGAGAAGCAGTGGGGGGGGAAGGGAAGACAGTCATTGGATTGCTTTGCAGTCCATCAGTCAGTCGGTCAGTCAGCCAGCGCCAGCCAGTCGTTCGGCAGGTCGCCTCGAGTCAATTACACTCATTCCTGAGGAACCTAAAGTGCCCTCTGGAGGTGAGGGAAGGAGATGTTGCCAGAAACGATACTCAAACGAAGGCATAGCCCTTTTCTCAAAAGCGATTCACAGGTTGCAATCACCCTTCTCTCAGTGAACCAGCAAGACTCACCTCACCTTGAAGAGTCTGAGAGGAGCTGCTCTAAAGCCCTGAGGGAAGGCAGGCGACGTTGCCATGCACAAACCAGGGCAATGCTTATGAGACCTCTCAAAAGCAATTCAAACACTGCAGTCGTTCAGTGAGCCTCTCTGCTCACCTCGAGGAATTTGAGGAGTCCTCTGGAGCCCTGAGGAAAGGAGATGTCTCCATCCACAAAGGCATCAGCCAATCCCAGGTCAGCACGTGTTGCCACCTGCAATAGCACGGGGTGAGGCGAGGGGATGGAGGTTTAGGCGAGCCTGTCAGAAAATAATCACCAGTTGGGAGGAATTTTAGGATTTTCTCAAGCCGAGGACTGGTAGTCACCGCCCTCCTATCACGTGCGCCTGCAGGCAAGCAGAAGTCCTTTACAATAAACGTGTGTGGTCCATCTGTTTGTGGCACTGTCATTCGTTATAAATTGGATGCACCACCATGATCGCGAGATTGCCAAAAGCTGTGCGGTGGTAGCACTCATTCACTCACTCACTAAAGTCTTACCGCCGCACCGCTTTCGGAAATTTTAGCTTGCTTCCTTCTCAGCAGAATGCATGCATGGTCAGCAGAATCTGACAGACTGACAGTCCAGATTACAACCACATGCATCATGTGATTCTATGCAGTTGATTTCAAGACATCAACAATTGTTACAATCACACACCTTCCAGTAGAATGCAGGTGAATGCACAGTCATCTGGCAGTCCAGATTGGGTCCTTGTCTCCCGAACCGGTACACCGTGCCTCCTCGCTCCAACAGCCTGGGACAGAGAGGGTGAAGAGGGGTGAAGGGGTTTGAAGGAGGGTGAAGAAGGGTGAACGAGGGTGAGGGAAGGTGAAGAAAGATGAAGAAAGGTTAAGGAGGGTGAACAAGGATGAATGAGGGTGAACAAGGATGAAGGATGGGGCGCAGGAAGGATAGCAGCACAGCGTTGCCTTGTGGACATGCATCTACACATGCCCAGGCAGAGAATTCGAGGCATTTCCACCGTAGAATATTCTATGGCGGAAAGGGCACATTTCAAGCTCTACATTACTCACTGCACGGAGCCGAGGTGAATGAAGGGGCGCAGAAAGGAGAGCACTGCGGCCTTGGCAGCCTGAAAGTGCAGCGGGAGGAGCATCTGAGGTGTGTTGCGCTGCAGCTGCAAGGCTGGACTGCTGCTGGCGCTGAGAAGAGCATTGGCTGCAGTCAGTCCAGCCTGGGAGGGAGAAGCGGGAATGGGGAAGAAGGGGAAGATGTTGTGATGGATTAAAACATGAGAACCTGATAGTGCAGCGGGAGGGAGGAGCATGTGAAGCGCATTGCGTTGCACAGCAGAGCTGCTGCTTGCATGCAGGAGAGAGAATGGGGTGCACTTGCGACAGCGAAGCGAGGTGAAGTTGGAGCTGATTTCGAAGCCACTCAAGTGTTAAGTCACGAGAGAATAGGGTGGGAGCGACATGGTCAGGAGAGAAAACAGGGTGGTGCGTGGGTAGAGTGGGAAGGAAGGAGGGACGGTGCGGCATCGTAGGAGGAAGTATCGAGCAATGCGTGGCATGGTGCATCTGTGAGATGCCATGGTGCGTGCATGGTGCATGTGCGTGATGGCATGGTGCATGGTGCATGTGCGTGATGGCATGGAGCATGTGCGTGCTGGCATGGTGCATGGTGCATGGTGCATGTGCGTGATGGCATGGTGCATGAGCATGATGGCATGATGTGATTGAGGCACTGTGCGGCTGCATGATGCACGATGCGTGTATGTACCTTGAACCCATCTTCATGGAATCCATATCCTGCATGATGAAATGAGGAAGAGAAGGGGGAGGAGGGGAGGGGAGGACAGTGAGGCAGGGGCGCTGGGTGGATCAAGTGCCCAATCTTGAATTGAAAAGTCCATTCTTCACGAGGGCGCAAAATCAGCGGACACATAAAGAGTCGTATTGCAAGAGCGCAACACTGCTTGCCCAGAACCTGTTTTTTTGTTCAGTAACCTGAACTTATTGAAAATCTCGCATCTTCAAGTAACAGTTACTGAGGTACGGAGATTCGGACCACATCACTGCATGTACAGAGAAATGCTCCAAAGTAGAAGAGTTTCCTCCTCCCTTGCACGGTGAGGAGCAGTCTGGCAGCAGCTGTGGCAGCAGTGGTAGGGAGCGGTGGCACCTGCAGTATGGGTCTGTGAGATTTAGTGAGAGCACTTAACCTACCGAGTTATGCCCCGCAGAAATAGATTACACTCCTCTCTTGCATGGTGGGAAGCAGTCTGGCAGCAGCTGTGGCTACAGTGGTGGGGAGCGGTGGTATGCGGTACGATACGGTCAATTCACAGTATTGCACGCACCGAGATAAGCCCCGCAGAAATAGATTCCCCTCCTCCCTTGCACGGTGGGCAGCAATCTGGCAGCAGCCGTGGCAGCAGTGGTGGGGAGCGGGTGGGAGGTGACCCACTGGTGGTGCACCGTGCCCTTGATTCCAGACGGTGGATTCAGAGTCACCAAGATGGGTTCGCCTGTGTTCCCTAGGTTCTGCAGAGGGGAGTGGTGTACGGGGTAAGAGAAAGGAATGGAGGCAGTGGGTAAGGCGGTGGGCGGGTGGGAAGTAACCCACTGGTGGTGCACTGCACCGTGCCCTTTATCCCAGATGGCGGATTCAGAGTCACCAGGATAGGTTCTCCTGTGTCCCTAGATTCTGCACGGAGGAAGGTAGGGGAGCATGGGATAGGGTAGGGGTATGGGATGGGGTAAGGGATAGCGGAGGGAGGTAAGTGCAGGGGTGGTGGTGGGCGGGTGGGAGGAAACCCACTGGTGCTGCACTGTCCCCTTGATTCCAGACGGTGGGTTGAGAGCCACCAGGATAAGATCGCCTGCGCCCTCGAGATTCTGCAGAGTGGGTAGTGGGGGTGCAGGAGACGAGGTGAGGAAATGAGTTGGGAAGAAACAAGGAGGGAAGGGAGGGGGGCGGGTGGGAGGTGACCCTGGTGGTGGACCGTGCCCTTGATCCGAGATGGTGGGTTGAGAATCACCAAGATAGGGTCCCCAGTCTCTGGATTCAGCACAGAGGGGTGTAGGGATGGATGCAAGGGAAAGGGTCCGCGTGACATGCTCCTTCAATCACTCCCTCATTCACTCCCTCATTCACTCCCTCATTCACTCCCTCATTCACTCCCTCATTCACTCCCTCATTCACATCCTCTTTGACTCTCAACCACTTGCTCGCTCACACGCTCATCAACTCACTCGCTCATCAACTCACTCGCTCATCAACTCACTCGCTCATCAACTCACTCGCTCATCAACTCACTCGCTCATCAACTCACTCGCTCATCAACTCACTCGCTCATCAACTCACTCGCTCATCAACTCACTCGCTCATCAACTCACTCGCTCATCAACTCACTCGCTCATCAACTCACTCGCTCATCAACTCACTCGCTCATCAACTCACTCGCTCATCAACTCACTCGCTCATCAACTCACTCGCTCATCAACTCACTCGCTCATCAACTCACTCGCTCATCAACTCACTCGCTCATCAACTCACTCGCTCATCAACTCACTCGCTCATCAACTCACTCGCTCATCAACTCACTCGCTCATCAACTCACTCGCTCATCAACTCACTCGCTCATCAACTCACTCGCTCATCAACTCACTCGCTCATCAACTCACTCGCTCATCAACTCACTCGCTCATCAACTCACTCGCTCATCAACTCACTCGCTCATCAACTCACTCGCTCATCAACTCACTCGCTCATCAACTCACTCGCTCATCAACTCACTCGCTCATCAACTCACTCGCTCATCAACTCACTCGCTCATCAACTCACTCGCTCATCAACTCACTCGCTCATCAACTCACTCGCTCATCAACTCACTCGCTCATCAACTCACTCGCTCATCAACTCACTCGCTCATCAACTCACTCGCTCATCAACTCACTCGCTCATCAACTCACTCGCTCATCAACTCACTCGCTCATCAACTCACTCGCTCATCAACTCACTCGCTCATCAACTCACTCGCTCATCAACTCACTCGCTCATCAACTCACTCGCTCATCAACTCACTCGCTCATCAACTCACTCGCTCATCAACTCACTCGCTCATCAACTCACTCGCTCATCAACTCACTCGCTCATCAACTCACTCGCTCATCAACTCACTCGCTCATCAACTCACTCGCTCATCAACTCACTCGCTCATCAACTCACTCGCTCATCAACTCACTCGCTCATCAACTCACTCGCTCATCAACTCACTCGCTCATCAACTCACTCGCTCATCAACTCACTCGCTCATCAACTCACTCGCTCATCAACTCACTCGCTCATCAACTCACTCGCTCATCAACTCACTCGCTCATCAACTCACTCGCTCATCAACTCACTCGCTCATCAACTCACTCGCTCATCAACTCACTCGCTCATCAACTCACTCGCTCATCAACTCACTCGCTCATCAACTCACTCGCTCATCAACTCACTCGCTCATCAACTCACTCGCTCATCAACTCACTCGCTCATCAACTCACTCGCTCATCAACTCACTCGCTCATCAACTCACTCGCTCATCAACTCACTCGCTCATCAACTCACTCGCTCATCAACTCACTCGCTCATCAACTCACTCGCTCATCAACTCACTCGCTCATCAACTCACTCGCTCATCAACTCACTCGCTCATCAACTCACTCGCTCATCAACTCACTCGCTCATCAACTCACTCGCTCATCAACTCACTCGCTCATCAACTCACTCGCTCATCAACTCACTCGCTCATCAACTCACTCGCTCATCAACTCACTCGCTCATCAACTCACTCGCTCATCAACTCACTCGCTCATCAACTCACTCGCTCATCAACTCACTCGCTCATCAACTCACTCGCTCATCAACTCACTCGCTCATCAACTCACTCGCTCATCAACTCACTCGCTCATCAACTCACTCGCTCATCAACTCACTCGCTCATCAACTCACTCGCTCATCAACTCACTCGCTCATCAACTCACTCGCTCATCAACTCACTCGCTCATCAACTCACTCGCTCATCAACTCACTCGCTCATCAACTCACTCGCTCATCAACTCACTCGCTCATCAACTCACTCGCTCATCAACTCACTCGCTCATCAACTCACTCGCTCATCAACTCACTCGCTCATCAACTCACTCGCTCATCAACTCACTCGCTCATCAACTCACTCGCTCATCAACTCACTCGCTCATCAACTCACTTACTCACTTACCCATCCACACTCAGTGCCATGCACACCTGCATCGTCCGTGCTAGCATGTGCCAGAATTATTCCACCAACCTGCAGCGCGTTGAGGCTGGAGCCAGTACGTGACACACACCCCTTCCCTTGCATCCATTCCTCTAAATTTCCACCTGGAGTGCGCATAAGTTACCTGCAGCGTGTTGAGCCAGTACGTGACGCACACCCCTCCCTTGGCATCCACTCCTTTGAAGATTCATCTGCAGTGCCCTTGCCTGTGTGTGTGTGTGTGCTACTCCACCTTCAACATTCAGCCACAATCACCTGCAGCGTGTTGAGCCAGTACGTGACGCACACCCCTCCCTTGGCATCCACTCCTTTGAAGATTCATCTGCAGTGCCCTTGCCTGTGTGTGTGTGTGCTACTCCACCTTCAACATTCAGCCACAATCACCTGCAACGTGTTGAGCCAGTACGTGACGCACACCCCTCCCTTGGCATCCACTCCTCTGAAGTTCCATCCGCAGTGCCCTTGCCCGTGTGTGTGTGTGCTACTCCACCTTCAACATTCAGCCACACTCACCTGCAACGTGTTGAGCCAGTACGTGACGCACACCCCTCCCTTGGCATCCACTCCTTTGAAGATTCATCTGCAGTGCCCTTGCCTGTGTGTGTGTGTGCTACTCCACCTTCAACATTCAGCCACAATCAACTGCAACGTGTTGAGCCAGTACGTGACGCACACCCCTCCCTTGGCATCCACTCCTTTGAAGATCCATCCGCAGTGCCCTTGCCCGTGTGTGTGTGTGCTACTCCACCTTCAACATTCAGCCACACTCACCTGCAACGTGTTGAGCCAGTACGTGACGCACACCCCTCCCTTGGCGTCCACTCCTCTGAAGTTCCACGCGCTCCAGG